TAAATAACCAATCAGGAGAAGGATTGAGATGACAGGATCTTTCGCGAAGAACGAATAGAAAAATCAAAGTCCTTCTGATATTAGCTACCGACTTGAAAGGTTGAAGTGATAGGTTGTGGGAATTGAAGATATCTGGTAGGTCTGGATCTATCTTTATTTTTCGAGTGAAATAACTTGTCATCGCAGGCATTTGGTTTGTTAGAGTTGATTATTATATATTGAATTAAATATTTATTGATATATTTTTGATCGAATTTCATTTTTGTGAGAGATAATTGCATTCGAGTAAATTGAGGTTACAATTCATATCGGATTGTTTCTTATGTAAAAATTGGTCATCGATATCAATTTATTCGATATTTGAGTTCTTCCTATATTTTATTAGCACTTGTTGATAATATTTTAGTGAAATTGACAAATTTTCAAGTCATACCTATACATTTATTTCAGCTTAAGGTTAAGTACTATACCTGGATTTCTCTGCATTGTCGCTTATATTTGCTTTTTATAAATTGTTGCTATCAACAGCTTCGTTGTGTAACGTAAAAATAACTAAATATTTTTATCGTCTCTCAGGGGGTGGGTCAGATTGCTGCAAGTCTCATACACCAGTGAAAAGGCGCCAGAAACTTATCCACATTGACTTGGATGAATTTCCCTGCTCAGAAATAAATGAAAAACGCTCAGTCAAAACAATTACCTCTATTTAATGATTTTATACATGATAATGGGTATCAACTAATGAATGAATTATTTACAACTTTCTTCACAACGCAAAACTCTCGAGCTACTGCTTTTTATCCTGGATCTGACTGTTACCTGGCTATAGGACCTCATCCAGTACTTATCCCAACTTCTTCACCTTGGTCAATTTTATACCACACAGGGTGTTTGTAGTGGTATTCCCTATTCCTGGTTTATTGACCCATCAGAGGACTTGGTAGTTGTGGACAGAGATACCTGGTAGTTCTAACGAGTCCTTTGGAGATCTCAGCAGACAAAAGTGATGATATAGAGGTGCCAGTCAGTTACATGAAATAGTTGAAGAAAAACATCAAAAGTCAGTAGGGAGTCTTGGAGTAATATGTGAAGTGGGAAAAATATATACAATATCAATGATAATACTAATGAATAACAAACTACCTATATTTACATAGAAAATAGGATTCTTCAACCTATATAATCTTCTAAAAACGTTTTTAGGTAAATTTTTAGATATATATTCAACTTATTTCAAGTTGAATGCTTGAAAAACTACAATTTGATGTAATTCAAATTGACAATTCATCAAAATGGAAGATAGAAAAAAGAAAATTTAATTTCTCATGAAATAAAGAGATTCATATGTCTGAATATTGAAAATTATCAAAATTACCAATAATGAAAATAGAAAACTCAATTTCTCATGAAATGAAGAAATTTATATATGTTTGATAACTGAAAATTATCAAAATTATCAATAATTATCATAAAAAATCTATGAAATACGCAAATTGTTCATCAGAAACAAATATCTGGATGTCAAAAATCTGATTTACTTATCATCAAAATTATTAACTTCTATACCAAAAGATAGAGAATACTCAGATATCATCAATAGAGCTAATCATGTTAATTATATTGAGCAATATAGATATAATAATATCAAGATAATGATATCGTGATAATAATATCGAGATAATCATACGATGATGAGAATGAGGAGATAATAATATATGGAGATAGTGGAGATAATATCCTCATCAATATCTGAACCAAAACAACCAAAGATAACCCATATATTGAGAAATACTTAGATATACAAGAGATACGTAGAAATCAAGTCTGATGCAAATTATGTATGATCGATAATCTTTTAAGAGAATATTGATGTAAATTTTATATGATTAAATTTATAATTCACAAAAAGAAAAAATATGTAACTCAAATGTAAGATTACAAGTTTGTCAGCTAATGGATACCTTGTAGGTAGAGTAAGATGTTTCCCAAAAATATGGTATAACCCAAAAAATACTTGAAAAGTATAATAGAACAATCTTACTCACCCTTCAAGTTGATGGAGCTTCCATTTCCATGAGCTGACAACCTCCAATTTCCACTTTTCGTCTTCGTTTCGTTAGATTCTGCGATAAGATACCCAAAAATATGGCAGGGCCTCTAATAATAGGATACACTGCATCGAAGAACTTCAAAGATGGCTAAAACCAAAATACGAACACGAGAAAGAAAATGTTTGGTTGAGCTGTAGAAAAAATAGAAATTATAAAAATATCATTAACATCAGTGATGTACGAATCAAAAATTCTGAATAATCATTTATAAATATAAATTCAATGAAGGATTGACTTTATTCAAAAAGATTACGATTCTTAAAAAGCCTCATAAAATGGCCGCCAATCAAACTCTACATTTATATTATGCTATGATATTCATATTCTGAAAAATATATTAATTGATGAATTATTAATAATTGCAATAATTAATTAGTCATGATATTAAATCAAAATGATTTTAGATTATATAGATATTTTTAAAAAGATTCGATCATACCAAATTCTCACCGACTTGCGTTCTACGTTATGAAATGTACTCTTTGGTGGTTCTGACGAGAAGAAGGATTTTTGAGTTCTTCGTTAACCTTCTGCATTTTCGATTCGCAGCGCACTCTTCATATCGATATTATCGACGAACAGTTAGATTTTGTCTAAGCGAATTCTATTTCAGCAGATTTGAGTTAGCTGCTTTATCGTTGAAGTTGCGCTACCATTCGATAGATGGCACAAATGGTATCGAAATTGATTTTAAAAGCATTCAGATATTTGTTACAGATTTGGAGTCAGATAAATTTGATAGATATAATTTAGATTTAGATAGACTATAGGCAATGATTCGAAAATTGTATGTAGATACATTGATAATATGATAATTGATTGAAATTATTATGAAAAATTATAATTATAAATGGAATGATTATAAAATCATTACAGTTGCTAATTTTTTCCTCGATCAATAAGTTGGAAATGGTATCTACTCTTTTGAAATCATTTTAGGTACTTATTGGAAATTTGACACGTCATCGCAGTTTCCTTAGATGTTCATCCTGGAAACCTGAACTGAAGTTTCCTTTGTGTCTCGTCCAGAAACCTTGAGCCTACAGGACCTAGAGCCTTGAAGTTGAACCTTGACGTCCAGGCTGTACCTTTCCAGGATTCTTTAATTTCTATTATCAACTTGTGAATTTCTTTTCCAAGTTATTCCCCATTGTCTCTGAGAAATAAATGCAACCTGAGGAAGGTTTCCTTCTCTCGATAGCCTGCTCAGTCAACATTTGTCTGGTTCCTGTATAGGTTTTGCCTTCTTGTGACGACAGCACAATCTATAGTTCAAGTTCTCTGGAAGTGAGATTTTTCTCTATATCTTACTGTCAGTATCTTCTTGGTCAACTCAACAAACCACATGTCAATGCATGTCTATTTCCTTATCTCCAGATATACCAGATCTTAATTCCAGACCTGTCAACTTCACACGTGAAATAGTACCAATTATCAGGCAGTTTACCTTTGAACAGGATTTGCCACCCTGTATTTTTTTTGGATTGAATTTCAGTATCGACAATTCATCATAGTTGAATTAGTTTTTTTTTCATCAGATAGATGATAATTTTTCCTTGATTTTTTTGTAATAATATATCAATACCAGGATATCTCATTATTTTGATTTATTCAAATATTTTCTCTCTGAGTTGGATTACAAATTAATCATTTGATTCTCAGTTATTTCCATTTCTAATTTGAGTCAATTTTCTCTAGTCCTTTAAAAGGACTCAATTTGCAAGTGTCAAGTTCTTTCTTTGAAATTAATTCATTATACTTTTCTAAGTTCTTGAAATTTCAAATTGTTAATTTCCACAATATCTACATTTAGAACAAAAAACTCAGTAAGCGGTTCAAAGGATATCCTTTGTCCCTTTATCACATTGTCGACAACTTTCTGATTCCTCGTATATTTCCGCATGCACTCTGCGTCTATACCTGCTTCGAGGATCCTGGTTAACCAAAGAGGGTTGTAAAGGACGGTAACACCTGGAGATTCCCTACTGAGTAGTCAGAACTGAAGGAGGCTATACTATTCCATCACAAGAAGTACCTACCACAGTACTTGGTAACTCTGATGGAAGCAGAACCGAGAGAAGCTGAACTGACTTTGAAGGTTGAACTCCATTTACCCTAAGGAAACCCTCTTGGACAATTCATCCAGCCACCCAGGTATAATCCATCCAAGTGCCAAGACTTTCAATTGGAATCAGATCGGATCAGTAGCTTTTGTAAAGTTGAATGTTCTGAATCATTTTGCTCCATTTCTCTTGGGCCTCCAGCCACTTTACTTTCACATAATCTTCAATATTATTTTTGGGCCTTCAGCCACTTCACTCTTACATAATTCTCAACATTATTTTAGGGCCTTCAGCCACTTCACAGTTCACAAATTATTGTTATTTTAAATTCTTCTGGCCTCCAGCCTTTTGTAATTTTATCAAGGAAATACATTGTTGAATTGATTCTCTGTATATTTGTTTTGTCTTCTCATCCAAGCAAGGTTTTTAGGAAGTATCTGATTGGCTTTTGTCTTTTGCAAGCCTGGCGCCCAAATATATCTAACAGTCAAATTAATCACCTTAAAATCATCCTTAGAATTTATATTACTTGATTACCATCTTAACAGTAAAATTGCAACTTTTGAACTCACACCCTACCGTATCAATCTGAGCAGCCCAAAGGCATAAGTATAAACTTTCATATTTTTTGTTTCAAAATTTTTCAAATTCTGAACTCAGAGTGTGGAGTGTTACAGTTTTTAGATGCAATTAATTTTGAGGAGAGCGCAATTCGCCCCATCAAAATCGACCTTTATTCACCGAATTTCGAAGTAAAATGCACACTTTTCTAGGCCATATAGCTAATTCTATATGTTCATTCACCCAACAAGAAGAGACTGAATCAATAGAGCTCGTTTATTCTTCATTGCTACAGATTTGAGAATTATGAAACACTGAATTACCAACTGGTTGTTCAGCTTCTTCAGTCGAAGAACCATTCATACGACGGACTCTTTGGATCTCACCATTTTAGCCATATAGAATCTTTTCACAAACACTCTCATAACATCCGAAATCTCCTTTCCATCCAGAGTTTTCAAGGATATTGAAGAACTGATGATTTTCTCTCTATAACGATGCTGTTTTGTGAAAGCATTTCCGAAAAAATAAGCATCTCGGAGATGATACCAGTGGGACAATGTTTGACAAACATCATTGATATCATCGAGATCATTATTCGACGCATCCAGAAACCGCAAGTTTATCAGAGGTGTCAGGCTGATGATTGATGAAATGTTATTATTAGATATGTTGAGGATTCGTAGACTGTGAGATAATGCCATAACTGATCTTGGGTCGAAACATAGTGGAGTGCCATTAGGTAAACTCTGTTTCTCCATATGAAGCTCTACTAGGTTTCCATTAGTCTGCAAACCTTCAAGGGTACTGATGTGGTTATGACTAAGATATAGTTTCTTGAGCTTTTTGAGTGCTTCTAGATTCTCGATTCTCTTGATATCATTGTTTTGCAGATACAAACAAGTCATATTCGGGAATCCATCCAAGTTTTCAATTTTCGTTATATGGTTGTTGAACAGGTATATAACTGAAGATTCTTTCGAAGGGTTTACCTTTGGTACTGTTTTGAGATATTTTTCCTGAAAATACAGATGGGAGTATTGCTTGCCGACTTGGTTCTTCGCTTTCAAATATGGTTGTACACTCTGCATCTCAACATAATATATTGTCTCTTGATTATGTTCGTGATATCAGTAAGAACTAGCAAGTTTTGTTTGTATCACCATCTTTGAAGTAAAACTAACTAGGTATAGCTTGTTGTCATGCATGACAGTTGCTATGGTTACCATAATAATTGGAAAAATAATGGGCTCGTTCATTTATCATAGTCTATGATCCGACTGCAAGTTTACTACATTCATCTGTTATCCAAAGAAAATCGAATTTCAACATATATACATTCATGAATGGGAGAATATATTCACATCAGGTGGACAATCAAAATGTGGCCGCAAGTATTTTCATTTACAATAATATCAATAATTGATTGATTTCGTTGTTGTGAATGTAATGCATATCTGATTATATTGAGAAGTGCCTTCTGTGTCATAGAGGCGATAATGAGCTCGATTTCAATGATGCATCATTTGAAAAGTTATAGCTGCGTCGCATAAAAAATATAAATACCATGACATTTCATTGACGCGTAACATACACATTGTCTGAAACAAATAACCTGCATTATTTGAGTTAATTTTCTCTGACATAGGTATTCGATGTTCAATTCACTACGGTTTATGAATGAATCTCAAAAATTTGTGTTGAACTTTTTCAAGCATAGTCGAATATTTTTCGCGTAATTGAACACCTCATCAACGGATTGGTGAAAAGTTGTTAACAATAGGAGGAGCGATGATTCCCTTTGCTTATTTGATGGAATAAGATGTGTTTATCTCTGCCCTACCTTTCAAAAACTCATGACAATCGTCTAACGTCAATAGGTCGTTGGTAACTTTCAATTCTTCCCATTCGCGTGATATGATTTTGTTTGATTCAGAAGAAAGGAAATGTTCTTCAGAAATTTCTGCTATCATTCTATCACTAGCAATACCAGTCAGACGACAAGCTCAGTCAGCACATCCTTTTGTTGTTAACCTTGGAATATGTAGGAGAGCAGTATTATCAGAACTCGTTTGTCAATGAACGGCAAAGGTATAGAATCCATAACTTTGGAAGTATTCCTAAGAACTTATAATGCCCAAATTTTATAAGACAAATTCAATACTTTTTTGCCTTTTCTCTAGGTACGCTCGATGTTATACCAACATCATAGTGATTACCTTCCGTGCGTGCTGACAGAGAAAAAAGAAACATGGCAGTGTCAATATTCTGAGAGTATCATATCAACCATTTCTCTCAATTCATACGATTCAATGTGACCCCAAACCAGTAGATAATCTTTCAATTCATAAGTCGAAATCACTCTACACAATTTTGATAGATTACATTTGAGCAAATCTCACACTCGCTAAAATTATCTATTGTATCTGGATTTGTTGATCAAGAGAACTTTTTGATTTTTGATCATCAAATATCATCGTTCTATCGTGGCTATACCTGCAGAAGACATGTGTTTTTTTTTGAAGAGATACAAATTTGAAATTCACAAGGGTTATATTATTGATGATGGCGCTTTCCCTGAACCCAATGACAATTTTCTTCAACCACCTGTTTGATCTGAAGTAGACCCAACTTGTTTTTTTTCAAATGGCGCCCTGTATATTTCTGTATCGGCTGTTGAATTGCATTTTATTAAAATACATGGAGTTGGCTGTGGCCCGAATGCAATGACATTTCGATGCTTGGTAGTCTTATAAATAAAAGAAACATTACTTGAACGATATTATCAGAATATTTTCCATATATATCCCAATCGATCCCAGAAGATTTCCAAAAATTTCATGGAGTTTAAAAATAAAGACCCAAAAATCACTCACGATATTGAGAAAACTAAGATAGAAGCCCTGTTTTTTTCATCTGGCTACTTGTGAAGAAAGTATTTGTCTCTATTTTTTGCCATGTAGCAATGATATGATCATCTATTTGGATACATGAAACTGAAATTGTTGTAATAGTTTATGTATCGTCCTTATATCGTGAGTTATTTTAGGATGAGTTTTTTAAACTCAATGAAATTATTGGCAATCTTCTGGGACCTATAAGGGTATGGAAAATTTTCTGATAATTTCGTCTAAGTAATGATCTTTGGATTTCTGAGCCTATCAAGCATCGAAATGTCATTGTTTTCGGGCCACAGCCAGCTTCATGTATTTCAATAAAATGCAACTCATCAGTCAATTGATGAATGAATTTCAAATTGTGATACATAGTTGAATGGAAAATTGTAAGGCGCATAAAATAAACAACAGAAATATACAGGTTGCTATTTGGAAAAAGAGTTGGGTCTACTTCCAATCAAACAGGTGGTTGAAACAAATTGTCATTGAGTTCAAGGAGAGCGCCATCATCAATTTAATAACCCTTGTGAATCTCAAATCTCTATCTCTTCAAAAAACTATAGGCTGTTGTTCTCCTGTGTCAGATCATCAGATATCTAAAGTTTAATATATACAGCATGTCTCACTTTGAACGGCCCCTCCTCTTTATCTCAGCTACTAGTCGTGCGATTCGTACCAATTTTGGACCAGCATGCAGTTTCTCAGAGGCAAACATCCTGTTGGACAGTGTCGGGCTTCTTTATTGGAATAAAATGGGGTGAATTTTCATATCAGGCTTTTTTTGCAGGGAAACCAACTTCATTCGTTCCTCATGCTTTGAAACCTAGATATGTAAGAAATCAACTCATCCCAAATTAACATGATCTCATTTTCAACTAGAAAGAATAGTGAATTCAAATCAACTGCAAATTTTGGAACTATCCATAGCTCCGGAAGTCACATACGGGGGGTTCAAAACCATGAAGAAAATTAGTATATAGGTACATATTCTTTTCTGAAGGAGAATGCAAATTCTCAACCTCAGAAGATTTTGATTTCGAATTCTCATCGTGTGTGTACAATAAATATAATTCAAAGTGGTTGTTTTCTGCTGAAAAAAAAAAACGAGGAAGAATAATTGATATTTTCATCTCGAAGGGAATGCGTTTTTTCTATGTAATACTTTCTTGTTATTGTTATTTTTATAGACTTCTAATCGCAGATTCGCGATTAAGTTTTTTCAATTTATAATTTTTTCCACGTCCTGTTTGATGAATACCAATTTGTCATACATCCAGAAACATTAGTTTTCTGTTGAACCATTCCTCATATGCTTCTATGAAGAACTGACAGTCTCCATGTTAATAATAACGCACAACATTGTCCAAAAGGATGTATGTCTCTATAAAACTGATCATATTAATGGTCATTATTACCGGTCCCAATTTGGCCAAGATCGCACGACTCAGCTGAGATATACAAGAAGGGCCGTTTGAAATAAGACACGCTGTACATTTTTGAAATGATAACTTCTATATGCCCGTTAGCACTTTCTGAGATCTCAAAAAACTGCCCGACTCGCCTCACGCGTGTAAATTTGTATACCTATACAGGTTAACTCACGGTCGATGGTACGTTAGACGTTTATGGAGAACGCAACGCAGGATTTTTCTGAAAATTCTGCATCTCACATTTTATCACCTGTTTTATCGATCTAAAATATTTTCTAAATTGTGACGTTGCCGTTCCTGTCAAAAAGTCCTAGCAACTTCATTTTTTTAAATGGAACACCCCGTACATTAACAAATTTTCAGAATTGCTTTTTCAGTAAATCTCTATAGGGCAATCCAGAACACGTGACCATACGTCATCAAAAATGGCCGCTGGTAGGCACATCTATTGTTTACTACTTTAAGCATTGTGTTTCCAGTTTGTATTGAGCATTCTGATTGATTGTAAGCTTCAGTAGGTGTTTTAGGTTGAAATAATGGCATTTTCCGTTAAAAGTGATTATCTATTAATGTTAGAGAGTAAAAGTAAAGACTTTGCAATGAGATATAGGAAGAACATCAAAGTTATTCAGAGTATTGATCCTTTCACCCTCATTAATGATCCTGATGAAAAAACTAGAGAACAAGACTTTCCACCAGTGACTGCTTTCCACATATTCTCGTATTTGGTTCTCACTCATAGTTTCTACACTGATGAGCAAGTCCAAGCCTACATGAGTTTGTGAGCTTATGAATATTTTGAAGCTGGATTTGTTCAGAACTGCCGAGCTCGAAAAATTGGAGAAAATATCGTCGTGTTTTGCCAGGTAATCAAAATATTCATTAAAATATAATATAATCTTTCTCTTTCTTGAAGAAAATGGTTCATATAATCTTGATTGTTTTTCAATCATTTGTGTGTTTCAAAATATTGAAAAAAATCTTGATTTTTAGGTGAAACATTCCCAAAGGATGGACAATCCCCCATCAAAAGTTTGGACAATTGCGAGGAAGATGGTTCCATAATTTCTGCTCATTGTACATGTATGGCTGGCCTATATGAAGTATGTAGTCATGTAGGTGCATTATTATATGCTTTAGAATACATGTATCAAGCATCAAGGAATTTGTCACCAACTACTGATATCAAAGCAAGATGGATTGTACCATCTGTGTCAAATGTTCCAATTGTAAAATTGGGTGATATGGAGTTGAAGAAAACAGGAATTGAAGGATCTTCTAACGACAAGCAATATCTCCAGCCATATTGTCCCTAGACTTGAAGGTAAAGAGTTAACACAATTTCTTCAAGTTATGCAGGATAAAGGAGATGATGTGGCTATTATGAGAATAATAGAGCCATTCGCATCAGAAATGAGTGACCAAAATTCTAGTGGATATCTACCGAATACCTATGATATTCATAAAGTGGAATATGCATTCCTCTCCTATTCAGATTTATGTAAATTAGCACTCACTGTTGAGGAGCAAATGGATAGTGAAATGTGTGAGAAAATTTTGTTGGCAACAAAAAAACAAAACAAATCCATTGAATGGTTCCAACTAAGAAAGGGTCGCATCACCGCTTCTAATTTCAAGAGGGTGTGTGAAATATCTATAAGTAAGCCTTCTTTATCATTGATTAAAAATATTTGCTACCCGTTGAGTGTGAATTTCAAGTCAAAGGCTACTGAGTGGGGTTCAACACATGAAAAAACTGCACTCAAGGAATTTGCAGAGCTATGTAATGGCAAAATCCCATACCAATTTTAGAATTGAGGAGACAGGGTTACATATAGATGAAATGTGCCCATTTCTTGGTGCTTCCCCAGATGCAATGATG